CTTCGTTAACTTGACTGCTGCTTAGGGTTGAAAGAGAAAGGCAAGGAAGGGTTAGGAGACTTTTAGTTGGAATCGCCATGCTCAACAGTTCACAGCTTTGGAGGACCACAGACAGCTGCTCAGTAAGTCAAGTTAGTAACAGCAGATTCCAAGGCAGAGGTGTCTGGCCACATCGATGACAACATGTACATATAACACATCCAGGACCATCTGTGAGGGCCAAGGGAATGAATCTAAATTTCTATACCCATTACCCTCACTTGCCCCATTGAGACCCTATTCAAATGTTGCCTGCCCTGGCTCGTTTTTGCTCAGTGGTTAGAGCGTCGACCTGTGGACCAAAGAGTCGCGGGTTCGATTCTGGTCAATAGCATGTACCTCAGTTGTGGTTCAGTTACCAGCCCTGGTTGGGGCCGTGCAGGAGGCAACCAATCGATGTCTCTCTCTCATGTCGATGTTTCTCCCTCTCCTTCTCTCTCTCCCCCTATCTCCCTCCCACTCTATCTGAAGATACATGGAAAATCATCCTCTGGTAAGGATTAATTAGGAAAAAAAGGATCCATCACACAGAGCTTAAAAACAAATCAATCAATAAAAAAGGAGACTAAATGTATTTTTAAAAATGTTGCTTATAAGGGGTTATGTTCTGGGCCCACTGGTGCATGAATTCATGGCTGAAATAATTTGGTCGACTAGATGTGCCTCCCCTTCCTTCAGTGCCTAACCTACGTCTTTCGTTGAGGAGTTGACCATCTTTCAGGACATAACTTGTACCATCACCCATTTTATTATTTTCTCCTAAGAATTTCTCTGGTGATGGTGGCACCTTAAACTAAGGCTCAATTTTTTACTTAGCTGAGAGGGTTCATAGGCCATTGATAAGCAATAATGGGATGAAGGAGAGGGGTAGAGAAGGGGCATTAATGGGAAGTCAAATGGATCCTCAAATCAGGTCCTTTCCCTGGTTCTTGCCCCGATTCTTTTTAACTTTTTCATTGAATTTATTGGGGGTGATATTGGTTAATAAAATTACATAGGTTTCATGTGTACAATTCTATAACACATCATCTGTATATTGCATTGTGTGTTCATCACCCCAAGTCATGATCCTTTTACTATTATAAACTTGCAGATGTCTATTCGACCCCACGGTTGAGTTTTTTGTAGTGGACAGAGTAGACATTTTTATTTTTATTGCCTTTGTTATTTGTTTTTATAAGAGATAAACTTTGGCTATTTGGTGACTCTAGTGTGATAAGAAGCATGTTGATCTCTCCCTGGAAAACACTTTTTTGACTCACAGGAGCTCTGTTTACTACAGCCATTACCTTTTATTTATGTTTGTCAGTCACTGGGCAGCTAACTAGACTGTGGCAGATGGATCCCTGAAGGCAAGGAGAAAGACTCCAAATGCTGTTTGCTGCCTGAAAAGGAGTTCATATTTATGATTTCCCTTACCCCACATTGTGAGTTTAAATGTGGCAATTTTCAAGCTGGGAAAACAATTTCCATTAACAGATTCCGGAAATGCACTAATGGACTCTGGGCTTGACAGCACACAAAGGGCATCGATTGGCCGAGAGATTCTTCCTGAGGGAAGTTCAGTGCAGGGCTATGCAGCCACTGCCCAGGCTTCATGACCCTTCCTTCTCCCCTGCCTCTCCGTTGACAGGGAATAGAGTTGGAAAGGCTCACAGTGGGACGGGAGGATGCAGGTGCGTGGACAAAGGGGAAGTGTGCTGGAAGGTACAGGAGCTGTGGAAGGGAGAAGGGTTGAGGTTACCAAGTTCCTAATTCTAATTTTGTGCTGTGAGCTCTCAGACCACTTTTCTGTCTTTAAAAAGTGAGCCTCTAGTGTCTGTTCATCTCAGACACAGGGTTCACTTTCGGTTCAATGGTGTGAAGAGGCTGTTTGGAGAAAGTGGGTGATCCTCACGGAATGAACCCCACAATAATGTGGGAAAAATTTATGTATGTCCTAGACTGGTGGGCTCATGATCTCAGAATCAGATAAAGAAAAAAAAAGGGTGGGGGGAGGCAACTGCCTGAAAGGCATTGAATTCAATTTTACCTCTCAATGTCCCCCTTCCTGGGCGATTCTCTGAACTTGAACACAGCTCCCTTATGCTATAATGTTGTTCTAGCTGATTGATGTGTTGGCTGCATCTCCACAAATAGATGGTCCCTTCCTCGGAGCAAAGATGATAGTTCCTGTATTTCTAGACCCCTCCCAATGACATTGAGTATAAGCTATTCCATGCAGTATAAGAGCTTGAGAAATACTTTTATTTTTTTGAATGAATGGACAAAATCTAAATGCGATATTACCTTATGTGTCTCTAACTGAGCTATTTGGCAAGCTTACCTATCTGGAACATAACAGAAAAGGACCAGAAAGTGTGCAAAGAAAGTGCACAGGATTGTAGGACGACTGTTGTAGTTAACAATTGTTTTATTGCGGGCTTGTTATGGGCCAGGCATCATATTAAGCCCTGTATAAACTTTATTTCATGTAATCCTCACATCCCCATTTGGCTGTCATGCTACCGTGATTTCCATCCCACAGACAAATATATAACCTGACTGAGGTTCTAACCTATACCCACGTGACTGAGGTCCAGCCACGTGACCACTGTGGTTTTCAGCTTTCTAACGTCAGGGCACTGTCTGCATCGACGGGTTCCTGGTGCTCACGTAGGCCCTTCCCCTCCACTCCGTCCTGAAAAACTTGCTTTGCCTTAACTATCAATAAAAAGCCGATTTGGATAGAAAACAAACAAAAGAAACTGATTTTGCACATAGTTATAACACCCAAGGATTTCTGTTGTCCAAGCCCACAGCACAGGAGCAAATGAGAAAAGTCTCATCATAGGCCATTTTATAAGATCCTAATTTACACACTTGACAATAAGGAAGGGCCAAAGCAGCTTTTTAAAAATTTTTCTTTCTCTCCCTTCCTTCCTTCCTTCCTTCCTTCCTTCCTTCCTTCCTTCCTTCCTTCCTTCCTTCCTTCCTTCCTTCCTTCCTTCCTTCCTTCCTTCCTTCCTTCCTCCCTCTCTCCCTCCCTCCCTCCCTCTCTCTCTCTCTCTCTCTCTCTCTCTCTCTCTCTCTCTCTCTCCAAAAATGATGGTGCTAGAAAAACAGTAGCGTGGGGCTGTCCTCATTCTGGCAACGCCTTATGGATATATGTTTTGGAACCCAGTGCCGTTGATAATGGATAACGACAAAATCCTCAAGGAAGTTTATGTTAAACAAGTTCAGAACAGAAGTGAAAGAGGTATGAATTTGATTTCAAAATGTTCCCTTCTTGAACTATTACATTAAAATAAAAGCCAAGAGGTTAGTAAGATAAGAACTCAGATATATGGCCCTCGCCAGTTTGCTCAGCGGTTAGAGCGTCGGCCTGCGGTCCGGAGAGACCCGGGTTCGGT